TCACTCGTTTGGTGCCAAGAAGTGGTTTGGCTTCCAGTGCAGTAGATCTTTCCTGTGATGACTGGAATAACAACAGTAACTTAGGAGGCCAAGAGGCTGGCTTATTACTCAATCCAGCACTGTGCTATCTTTCCCTTGCAGTGACCTGATGCATACACTGTATTATTAGTAAAATTTCTGAAGGCTAAGATGGCCATTTAGAGTGACAACAAGGCTAGCGCAGGGAAGCCAGCACAACCAAGTTGGTCAGAGGTGCTGGCCTCCAGGGAAGGAAACCAGATGGTGCCTGTGTATGGCCACCCATCTGTCCTGGGCATGCTACTCCTCTTGGCACCATGTGTGCGGCTCTGCGGCCTCCAACACAATACCTTATCCAGAAGATTGTTTTATGTGTGGAGATAGCACCCTGTCCTGAATGGTAATTTGTGCGTATTTTTTTAGATTGACATCTAGAGGTGTCAAATAAACATTTCGTCTCTTACTGCTACAGGAAGCAGTGACTTTTTGTATGCCATTCCTCAGCTTGCTTTTCATTGTACCTGTGTAACAACCCAACTGACACCATCAGTGTTTCCCAGATTACTGATCATTATTCACAGCTGCAGATTCCAGCAAGAAAAGGAGACAAATCATGTGGTAAGTTGGTAAGGGGTAGGGTTGGGGGAAACAGAGAAAAAGCTAAAAATTGGATGGCATAAGTTGACTTAAGTGGAGCAATATGAAAACACAGCAGCAGAGCATTGGACCCCATTCAGATGTATCATATGAAAGTAAAATTCAGGCCCAGTGACATGGTGCTTCATCTCCAGGTGCTTTTGACCTTAGTAGCTTAAGCTGGACTGACTGTGATCTAGTGCCTAATTCTATTTTTCAAACTTACGGTATGGCCTTTGCCATGTTTGTCAAACTGTTGTAGATTCAGTAGCAGAAGTACAGGTTTTTTGCTGCCTTCTCCTTAAGACCACTTTAGTGTTGCAATTTGACTGAGTAACTAGTTGATTGCTTACCAGAAACCAAAGCTTAAATTGCACAAGTCAATATTTATGTATTTATCCATTATAACATGTTGGTCAGCAACTTCATTACATCCACTTTTGACCCTGAAGTATTTCATCACGTAGATTCATAATGCAGTATGTCATTTTTAATAATTTCATGTATGATGCTCTCTCCAGGGAAGTAAGGATTCTTTCCCACTTAGATGTTTCAGGGTGGTTTGTGCAATAACTGAAACTAGGCTGAAATCTGATGTAATGCACAATCAAAATGTTCTGTTACATTACAGTACAGTACACTTCAATGTAATTTATTCTTTTCCTATGAGAACCATGACTAATTACTAAGTCAAAAGCCAATCATAATACTCAAATGGCAGAAGTTTACAGACATGGCAATATGGCAACTATAGGGTTTTTTGTTGTCAACTTTGGTTAGTTTGTTTAATGTTATATGCAGCGGAAAAGGGGAAGGCAAAGAAAGAAGAAACATGAGAACCGTTTTGTCTCATTCTACTCAATAAAAATCCTTCTGAGATTATGTTGCTACTAACAGCACTTCCCGCTTACAAAATTGACGGTACCCAGTGAATATTATCAAATTAGGTTGGTTTTCATGCATGTCTTTTACAGCATATGGTGTTAATGGATTTCAGAGGCTGATAAATGCCTTTGTAGAATGGAAAGGCATGGGGGAAACCTAAGAGCTGGAAGATTTAGTTGCTAAATTTAAAGGAGGCCAGCTGAACAGGCCTAGTTGCATTTTCCTGTCCATCAACTCATCATGGTCAATCTTTAATGCTAACTTCAAAGGAATAATAAGGGATGCATAGAAGAGGTCACACACACATCTCATAAAACAAAATTTATCTTTAATTTGTAAGTGTCAACAGCAGTACAAAAGATGGAGTGATGGTGAATAGATTAAGGGTAGAGAGGACAGTCTTGAGGTAAATGAGCATAAATAGGCAGTCTTATAGACACTCCCCTGAGGGGTCTAAACCCCTATCATGGCATATACTGTATCACCCAAGGATGACATGTTTAACATATCAGGAAAGCACCTTGTGCAAAAAAAAAAAAAAAAAAAAATCCCCCCCCACCCGAAACACGTAGGTAAGGTGCCAACGTACACCAGAACATACTGTATATGGACAGTGTCTTTCAATTTTGTCTTTTCCATTAATAACTGAGGCAGAGGAGGAGAAGACTCTTAAAAGTACCACTGAAAGATTATTTAATATTTAATTTACCTCACGTCAATACTGCACAACAAAATCCAAGAAGTCTGTTTATGCAATGAAGCAGAGCTAAGAATAACTATTCTCTTTTTTAAACTGAGAACAGATTATTTTTTTTAAATCGGTATCCTTAGCAAACTTTTTTCTTTCTTTTTTTTTTTTACTGTATCAAGAGGAGAGTGTGAGATGTGATGGCAACCTTTAAGTTCATTTAAAAACTTTACACTGGACTGTACAAGATTTTTTTGATAAACTATTTACATTTTCAGACTTTAAAACATATTCAAAGCAGCAATAGACACTAGTTTTTCCTCTAAACGCCCAAATAATTACCGGCCATGGGCCCAGGTAGGTACCTGCATTGTATATAGAATTTCTACAAAGAAAACCTGCCCATTAAGTTAGCCAGTGGGTGTCCAACAAGCAGCCCTCGCCATTAAGAGCTGCACCCACAGTGTTGCTATAGGAATCAAAGCATAGTACCTTGACAAGAGAGTCTCAGTTGTCCCAACAGCTCTACACAAACTTTACAATTTGAAACAGCAGCTAGCATGTCAGTCCAGCATGTCAGTGAATTGTGCTGATTAAATTAACATAGAGTACAATCTCACAATATACATCACAAACAAATTACAATGTCAGGAAATAAGAGTTACAGTAAGATAAGTTATGTAGTAACAGCTTATAAGCTTGTCTTAATGTAATAAAAAAATTTTTACATGGGAAATACAATAATGAATGAACATAAATGCTAAGCATTCTAGTTTGCTACAAGCTGAAGAAGGGTACAAGAAAAAAAACGTTGCTTTCTAGAAAGCAAAACACAAATGACAAAGGAAGACAAACGGAGAATGCACACTAGCAGGTCTGCAATGTGCAGCATACAAACAGTTAAATATTTGCACATTCCCCATACTCCAAGAGCACCAAGGACCTCACTTGTGGTTTTTAGAAAGCGGAAATTACAAAGCAAGCCATGTCACTAAGTTGCTTTATAGCTTTCATATTGCCATAAATACCAATTTGATAAGTTTTCCTTTAGCCCAGTTCACCCCACCCCACCCCCTTTTTACCCAGCGTGTGAAATCTCAGAATACTTCTTTGTCACCATTTCCAACAAATCTGGTAGTTAAAAAAGGGCGATGGATTAAAATGAAATATATTTGCATATACATTTTTTTCCTTCTGTAGCAGGACATTACAGTATATCAAAAATGTAGTTTGAGCTGAGAAAAATCACAGATATTAATGGGTTATATTAAAAAAAAGGTTTGGGGGAAGTTTTTTTTAAAGGAAAAAGAGTGTTTTGTAAAAGATAAAATGAGGTCATATAGTATTATTCTTTTAAAAGAACATGCTTAAGTGCCAACTTGAATCTTAAAAAAGCATGCAAAACACCAAGGGTCCAAGCCCGTTCATTAACTTCTCATAAAAACATGAAGAACGCTATCATACATTCTGCTGGCTGCATCTCCAATGCAGTTGTTCGCACTGTGGCCCTGGCTCAGCAAAGTTTGCCCCGCTTAACACCAACGCTTTACTGGTCCTCATGACCGCCATGGAAATACTAACATGCTTAATATTAAGCAGGTAGATAAATGTTTTGCTGGGGGAGGATGGGGGTGTTAATCTTGTAGTATGTTTTGCTAGGAAATGATTTTGCAATGCCATGCCTTTGATATGACCAAAAAACAAAACCAGAAAGCCCACCCAGAGAGAGGACTATGTTTTAGATTGCATTGGGAGGTGGTTGTGTTTGTACTCAAAGCAGGAACTGCCCACAGCTGACTGCTGTACACTTTGCACAGGGTATCGTATTTATTGTGACTAATGCTGCTGTTTGTTTTGCATTCCCATCCTGGAGCAATCCCATCTTGTGCCCTCCCCCTGCCTCATGCTGCTCCTGAGTACACTGATTTAGGAGCACATCGTGATCCCAAGTATTCTCAGCAGGCAGTTTCGCAAGCTAAATGGTGATGCCCAAACATACAGGCAGACCACAATTGGGCCACTTCGTCAGAGTCATTTCTCCATGTAAACCTGAACCCTGGAAAGCAATTCTGTTTCCATTAAGACTGTTGTCTTCCATTTTTATGAAGTATGAAGTGAACTATTCTAGCTGGTATCAGACTGTTTCGGGAGTGTTCTTCTCTTGAAAATAAGTATTTTATAATTTTCCAAAAAGAAAATATATTGTATCTGTTAATTAAATAAACTGTCTGTTCACAGAGAAAATAGTATTACTATATTTGTTCATTACCTGAATGGAGTTGTTATTTTTTTCAGTCAGAGTTATTAAGGGGGGCTCAAACACTATGCTTAAAAAACAATTCCACAAGTCCTCTTTGTGTATTGTGTGAACAATTTCCCCTGGTATTATAGCCTAATATGACAATAACATGATTTAATGAATGTAGAAAATAAAGGTTTGATATTAAGTCTTGACTGCATTGCAAGGGCCATCTTAGTCATAATAATCTTTCCAGGGATATGCTTTTGACTTCCAAATGCCATTCTTGTTAAGAAGTAAAATATCTGATCAGTTTTACTTGGATTCAGAAGACTAACTGTGTTTCCTATCAAATGTATCCAAAATTTGGTATGTTTAATGTATCAACTTTCTAAAAAAGAAGAAAGTATTCTGTGTTTGTGGAATATGCTATTAAAAATCAGTGAGAGCACAAGTGAGGCATCTTGCTGTCCCAGCTACAGGTCCACAATACTGCGCTCACACTGCGGGTGTAAATTCAGCATCTACATGAGGTACAGTGACTTGTCAGCATTTAATATGGACCAACATACACTGATATAGAACAAAAGTAAATACATAACTTATACTTCACTAAGTATCCATGAACAAAAAATAAAATTCTATTTCCTATGTTATATTTACACAATTTAAAAAAATTCTAAAATGAGATGGTAAATTCATCAAAAACTTTGTTTTGAGCTCCGAATAATAAAGTAAAAATGTTGGTTTTTATCCTTATGATTGTCCTTCCTTGATTTCTACTGACATTTTAGAGCCAATGTCGGCTAATAAATAGAATAAAATGCTCATATGCACAATTCAGATTCAAATATGTTCCTCCCACTCCCCCAGCCAATAAATGCAATTTTTACCAGCTGGCGATTCCTGAACAGCCAGTCATTTTCAAGAATGTGGCTTTAACATACAGAGCATCAGCATTGAGGCAGGGCTGGAGCTCAAACAAAGTGTTCATACATACATTTATTTTGCATAAATAAATGAAATAACAAGACATAAAAATGACTCAAATCCGGCAACTGTGAGGCAGGCCCACACGAGTCGAAACAGATGACTTTTGTTCATGTAGTTTTCGTACAACAGTTTCACATTAGTCAGAAGTGATAAAAAATACCATTTATATCCAGTGCTTATAACACTTACGAAACAACATCTGTGAGTGTGTGTTTTTTTGTACTACAAGCAAAATCAAGTTTCAGTCCTAAAGAACAGTCCTTTGTTCTCCACAAGCCTGCAGAATATTATTTTGGCATGGTCATAAAATTTAAAAAAATTAACCAACTAATCTAAATGTTTGCCTTTGTGCAAAAAAATAATTACATAAAATACAATGCTAACAATACAGCATTCTACCTATGCAACAAAGCCAGAAGAAAAAGAGAGCAAGAGAGAAAGAAAGTGACATGGGGGGAGGGAGAGATACTTCTAACTGGAGAATTATGTAAAACATTAATAAATAGTCATTTTTTTAGGAAATAATGGTATCCTCCCCCCAATCTGAGCTGAATGTATTAAAAACAGTTCAAATTCCCAAGCAATTATAAGAACAAAAAACACTTTCTATCAGTACCTTAGCCAGCTTAAAGAGGGCGCTCACCAGCTAACGACACAGCATATGCCTTTAAAGTCTTGGCTAGACCAGTTTATTGCTTATTAGACATGGATTCAGAACACATTTAAATAAATATTAAAAATATAGCATTTTGTTCCAAATTACAAAATGGTCAGAGAAATTTGACCATTGTGTTTCTATGCCACTATCTTTATAAATTGTCCTGTAAATTGAACAATGTTCTTTGTCCTGGGGGTTGTTCTCGCACATTTAAACGTGATTCCTACAGTGGCAACAATGGCTATCTCTGCTCAAATAGGTATTAGTGGGGCCATGAGGAAAATGACTGCTCCTGATACAGCATCTTGTCATTGCACCTCATATTAATTTCTGCAAGATAGGATGATAGCACGAGGATAGCCAGCATTAACACTATACTTCTTTCATTGTCTGGGCCCTAGACAAAGCCCGTTCAGCTCTGTGGGAAGATTCCCACAGACTTCAAGAGGAGCTGCTCTAGGCCCACTCATACCTCTCAGCCTGAGTCTGAATTTATCACCAATGTCCTGAACATATCCAATTTGAAATAAAAGCTGAGGGAGTTGAGGAGCTTCAGCACATGTATCCATCAGGCCCATTGGATCTGCATATATATACAGTGATGTATATATACTCCACAGGAGTGGAGTGTGAGGGAAAAAAATAAAGGCAATTTCTTCTCTGTCTCTGAAATGTCATAAATTCACAATCTTTGAATATTTCTCTCTTGTATATTTCCCAGAATTTTCTCTAGCAATTGCATTGTTTCTAGTAGTAATACAAATTTTAGTTTCTATAGCACCTTACATCCAAAGATCCCAAAGCACTTGACAAGCATTTATCAAGATCTGGCTCACATTCCCACATAACTAACATTCAATAAATATTTTTGATGCACCATTTTCCCAGCTTTGCAAGTCAGATATTTGTGTGGCTTTCCCTCCCCCACTAGGAGTCTCCCATATAAATCACTGCATAAATACTTAAGATAGCAAACAGTTCCTTCAGGTGACAACAGGAACATGATGTACGGAGCCATGATTCACTGCAGGATTCTACAGGCCCTAAAAATTCATCATGGTGGACTCTACATGCAGTTTGGATTTTACATCTGCCTTTGCTGTCTAAGTATAGAGGTTTATAACTAGCAACACAATTTTTTAGGAATACTTGTACTGTATGTACATATAAAAGTACTCACTTTATTTTGCATTACATAAAGCAGAGTGTTTCCAAGAGCTCCTTGAACATACAGTGTTACAGGAACAACTGAATTTCTCATTCATAAATGTCATGTTCATTTTAGTAGCAGGTGCACTTTTATTGTCATATACCTGTGTAATTTAGGGGAGGAGAAAGAAGGGGTTCTTTAAAATATCAGTAAGGAATTGTAAGTGTAATGCCACCAACAGTACTTTTAAAAATAAATATTAAGTATTTGGACCCTTGACATTCTGGAATGAATAAATTATTTAAGAGAAAATGTGTTAAGACTGAATGCAAGGGTTAAAAGCAAAGGGGTAGAGAATGTAATCAGAGGTGGCCTCACACTGCTAAGACAGGCCCGTCCATAGCTGGTGATCGCTCTTTTGTGCTTACTTAAAATTTCACACTAATGGCACATCAAGAGGCAAAAGCAATTGGGCACATGCACTATGGCAACCATGTTCACTACTTAAGAATATCCTGTCTCCAGATTCCTGAGTACTTTACCATATTCTGGAAAAAATTAGGTTTTATATATAATTTTTTTAAGATGCCAAAGGATTGTCTAAGACTTTACAGTGTCTCCTTTAAGACTTTTTTTTTAAATGTTAAGATTCAAAAGTTATGAAAAGTTTGGCACATCAGAAGTTCAGCTATACATATGGAAAAAAATGGAATTCAGAGACTATTTTTTAAAGACAAGCTATGATGCACAGATGTGCACACTTGCGGACTTGTTCTGTTTCACTATATGAAATCTGCAGTTTTTGTTTTCTAAAATAATCCAGAATAAAAACACATTCACAACCTGTAGGCTGGCACAGCATACCTGAGTGAGAATGTATAACCCCCATCTAAAACAGTAACTTAAACCTTTATCAGCATCCAAAAGGAAAAAGACAAAAGGTAAGACTTGTAAGACAGCTATTGATTCATATAAGATTTCAAGTCCTGATGTCTGATACTTAGTATATGTCTTCATCTAAATTAAAAAAAAAAACAAAAACAAAAAACCCAAGTTCATGAAAAATTAGGGAAACAATCTGTCTCACACGTTAAGAAACATTTAAGACCATTCTGCTGATGTAACTGTAGGAGCCACACATGCATGCAGGCTCTTTTAAGAACTTTTGTTCAAAAAAAACCCCAAAAACCCCAAATGAGTCTGAGTACTTTAATTCTGTGAACACTCCTCAGTTGGCACTGACTGCCTCATGGGCTTCGTTTTCACTACTATAGTCTGATTTGGGATCATCCTCATAGTCCTCGTACATTTCTATTTCATCCTCTCCATTTATCATTTCATTTCCAGCAAGGCTTCCGCTGTCCGTCTTCATACCATAAGTGCTCTGAATGACGGGGATGCTGGGCTCAGGGCTCGCAGAGGTGCTCGAGCAATCTGATGTCATCTGAGGTGATGGCGTGGTAGTCGCCATGGTAATAGCACCAGGATAGACAACCCCCGTTCCCGTGGTGATTGGAATTTGAGGCTGTTGTCTGGAAGGAAAAACAAGAGGGGAACATGATTTCCTGTGTTCAGAAGAGGGAAGACCTTCTGCAAGTCCAAATGAAAGAAAACCATGTGGTTTCCTAGACAGGCTGCATGCATTCCTCTGAGGTTCACAGTCTGGCCCCGTATGGTATTGGTTCATCTTAGCTCCCCCCAAGGACAACTAGAGAGTAAACTGTTTAGTAACTACCAGACATTGATTCTTTTATGTATTGTATATGTTTGTTTAAACCATACTGCAAACTAGCACTTGGACAGAGATCATCAAAAGGCTTCAGGCACCTGTGTGATGCCTAACTGCTACTGTAGACATCATGTATCCAAAATCTACATCCTCCAAGCTCCTGACAAGAACTTCTGTTAATGAGGGGACCTCAAGATTACCTGTAAGTACCTAAAATGACAGACAGGTGACTAAGTAACATTGTCTAACTGTAAGTATGTAATTTACTATTTAAGTGCTAGGTAGACTCCTACGTCACTTAGAAATATTTTTGATATTTCATTGCTGGCTTTTGATTTTTGTTTAAATCCACAATCAGAATGCCATTTGTTCTTCAGGATTTAATGTGTAAGACAGTTTTTGAAGCAAAGTACTCTAAAAAAAAAGAACAAGTGCTCTTTTTTCTATGGTAATGGACAGTCTACAGAAATTAAGGCTTCCTCCTGAGGACCCAATGTCAGATCTGATCTATTGTGACAATGTAAATACATGGGAAGACTCAATTAAGGTGCACTACCTCTACTTTTGACACATCTTGCCTTCTGATATCTAACTTTGCACTACATAATGTCTTTTTCATGTGTATGTGATTTTAAGCATACTGGAGCAATACCTCACTTCAACTAAAATAGGCTTATATCACTGCCAGTCAAGCAATTCAACACAAGCTTTACTGTAAGCATGTACATAGTTGTACTAAGTGATGCAATGTCTCTTCTTACAGTGATGTATGTATATTCAAATGCTTTGCTGAGTACAGGTCAGGTTGCTGAACCCATTCCATGGTCAAGCACTTACTGGCTACAAATTAATTAAATCCACTTCTTACATTTGGGGTAATTAACTAATAACATACTTTCTGTATTAAAATACTCATACAAATATTCGCATATTATTTCTGGATCATTACCTTTAGTAAAGCTAAGAGAAAAAGAAGAGATGTAACTTGTCTGAAGGAAGAGAATCTCCATCGTACTTTAGATGTAACACTGAATGAATATACTCCAGTACCAGAAATATCTAAGTGCCCTGGAAGATGCTGTTTTAGTACTGACTAGTTATTGAACATACATGCCTATTTTCATAATCTGTCTAAAGAATCATATATTTCAATGTATTTCCAACCTTCTTTAGAGCAATATTGACCAAGTATTAGAGAACTATTATATAATTTTAGCAGGAGAAAGTGTCAAATGTGTTTGAATAGTCGAACGAATCTGTAACTTCTTGACCACTGTGTCATTCTATGCTAACATTCAAAAGGATATTCCATAAACCAGCCTCTCACAAGTCCTTAATCATTGGCTAAATCAATACACAGAATAATGTAAAGCTTATTTACAAGACCCTAAACGTTGAGTCTTTATTGTTCATTGATCAAACTCTAATTTTGATAAATATCACACTACAGAGTTACTGGGAAACCAAAGTCCTTCAAGTTTGGGAACCAATGCAGACAGTCAAATCATGAACACGCTGTGTAAGATAGTATTAAAATAGCATGTAGTACTGTCATTGCTGGTGCTGCTAGCCTGACTCTTAAAGCCTCTGCACAGCTTGAGAAATTCAAACATCTGTTGTATAAGTATGGTACACCTGGCTAGCAGCGAGCAAAAACATCGCAGTAATTCATTTGACACAGTCATTATACTCCTGTTTGCAAATGATGATTTGCAGATGATTTACAAACAGCTAGGGATTTTTCACTAAATTTTCACTTTTTAAATGGTCTGATAAATGTTCTGTGAAAACAATTTTCGGCCAATGTATTTGCTTGCAAGTGATTTTCTGCAAACATCTTTCAATACTTTATCCATAAAATTGAACACCTACCTCACATGGGAACATTTCTGTTTTAGGATTGCATGTTGTCAGGAGTATAAACTATTACTGTTAAAAACCCACATGTACCTCCTCCACAACTTTTAGACACAGAAAATGTTCACATTAATGACTGTTTCCACAAGCAAAGGAAAAAGAAACCCACACATGTTCACAGCAAAATTCTACATAGTTGTCACCAGGCCATACACACTTAATTATCTCTAATCTGCCCATCTAACAACTGCTGTACTAATCTTTTTCCGATATTTCTTAGAATAAATAAATTCACAAAACAAAGCATTCCCAATCGTTCATCAAAGAACACCACACAGCATTAATGCCAAGAGATGTTTTGAGAAAAGTTGTTTTTACAGCTCTTATTAGAAGAGCTGTAGAATATACTCAAAGACTGATAGAGTGCAAGCTGCTCTTGTGTTATAGATGACACTAAGGATCAGAACCCTAATATCCACCCCTACCCCTCCCCCCCCAAAAGTGTGCATTTTTTTAGAAGCAAATTGCCTTCTTACAAGCAGCAAGAAGGAAAAAAATCTGTTTTGGACAGGGCTGTGAGGTGTCTTGATAAAATGATGGTTGTCAGTGTTAAACCCTAAAGGACAGACTAAGTTAAGAAATTCAGATATTCTTTCAAATGTTTATCAAGTCAGCAAAACTCTTTTGCATATCCACATTTCAATGGGACAGGGTATATTTGTCCAAGTACCACCCATTTCAAAGTATGAAGGGAGCAGGTCATCTGAGCATAGAGAGATACCTTTTACCTGAGAATGCACCAAATGCATGGCTAACTATAGAATGAATCTAACTGGGAAAGTTAAAAGCTTACTGAAATTGTCATTCATAAATGCAGTTCTTCTTTACATGTTAAACCAAAATCAGACGTGGTGTGCATGCCTGCTGCTGGGTGGGTAATAACTGTGAGCTTTAAATTACCTACATCTCACCGTGGAACTGTAAACGTGGTAACTGTACCACCTAAATGGGAAGTGTCTCAAACTGCTACCCATTTGCTAGCAAAAATTTGCTAGCACTTAAACATGAGCACCCACACACCCCCAGTAACTGGACACCTACGTCTCACTTGAGCCCTGTTATTATTTAGAGCTGATCAGGTTGTCACTAAATTCTGCTCAAGTTTCTGCATTACATCCCAGAAAGCCTTATTGCAAGATATCACAAACTATATGGATGGCATATGTTACTGGAGATGAGCGTTATCATTTTCTAAGTAATTAAATTTTATAGGATGGCGAGGGGGGAAGAAATCAGAGCATTTATTTAAATTCTAACCACTCTCCCTGAAAGGAAGAGTTGGAGTTTCTAACCTATGACTCTGGCCATTATGTTTTCTTTCATTTGTAGTTCTTAAAGGCATGCATGTTAATGGTATTTTTTATAACATTTAATTCCACATGTTTAATCCTTGTATCTCACTGGAGTTTTGCCTATCACAGGACCTTGGAGTGAGGAGATAAAAACATACTTTGCTCCAAGCTGCAGGTTACAATTCAGCTTAGTTGCACATGGTTAAAGCAAGGATGTTTTCTGCCTGGTTAAGATTTCCAGAACCCAACATTAATCTTCCTATCTCTTCAGATCTGTGAGGAATGGTGACGCATGGCTATGTACCCTGACTTCAAACCACTCCTGTCTCCACCATCTCCTCTTTGCCAAAGAAATCCTTATGTGGCCAATTACTACAGGTCGCTTGCCTCTCTCTCTGCCAGCGTTGCTAACATGTCTGTCCAGTCTGGGGCCAAAGATTTGGCCCAAAATAGTTAGGTAAATATAAAAAAGGAGGTAACATGAAAATTCTTAGACCAACTGACCTGCTCACAAGTTTGTGGCATTAATATTCTTAGGATTTTCCTGGAGAATGTTCCACTTCTGACTTTTGCAAAACTAGCTAAACATTTAAATTGGCAAATTACCATTGTTTTCTGATCCCTTCCCAACTATTTTCTGACAGCTCTTTAAATGACTGAAGCAAAATCAATTGCATTAAGGAAAATGCTTATACGCTACACACCCCTGAAACTTACATTCCCATACGGAATGAAATAACAGTAAATCTCACAAAAGCACCCATTGTGTACTTACTTGAAGTTCAAGCTACAGGAGTATAATATTACAGCCTTATTCAAAACTGTAGTCTAGCAACATTCAGACTATGTGTGTACAGTAGTTATAAACACTATAAAGGCTTTATTCTAAACATCTTACACTGGTAAAACACACAAAGTTACTGCTTACATCATTTCGCAGAGAAAAATATATATCATATACTTGTATTTAGAGTGTATTAGACTGTAAAAATGACTGAGAATTGAATTATTTTTGTAAGACAAGGCAACAAAAGACAGACTCTTAACTTAAAATGTCTGAATTTATGGCTTATATATGATCCATTTGTTATTTCACATTTATTTATGCATTACAAAAAAAGTACCATTGAAGATAAATTGTAAATCACTTGAAGTCTGTTCAGGGATTAACTTACGCTGAAGTTATTGTTCACAACTACCCATTAATAATTTTATTATTAAAAATAACTCAATTATTTTAAGGACACAGCTGGCTTCAGATTCAGCTTCCACTAGATTGAAAACAACAAAATTTTAATATACTCTGCATTAAACATGAATTATTTCTGTATATTATCTGCCTCATTTGGAACAAAATTCATTCATGTAGGGATGCAATAGAAGGCTTACGCACATTTTAAGTTCCACTCTGTTCTTTAAAATACTTGCCAGTTCCTAGATTTTTGTGCTGGTCTATCACATATATAACATTTATCTAAAAACATGAATTTCCTGCCCAATTTATTCCAAGAAATCTTCACTCTCATTCAATTCTTTGGAAGCTTTTCTTCAAAAATCAGAACAGAACCTCGCCATTCATTAGCTTATTTCTCTATTTTATTTTAAAGCCTGGATAGTTTGTATATTGAGATTCTCTAAACAACTTTTGTGCATCTTAACCAATGTTTATCAAAGAATGCGGCTCACTGAAGTAAGCAGTATGAAGTTTTTGCATCTTAAAAGTTCAAGCAGTGTAAAACTCTTTCTATGTTCTGGGGGGTGTTTTAGTTGTACACATGGCAGGATTATTCTATGCTAGCCAATGGCTCAGCTAAGGGGATCTGGTAGGAACTAGCCCTTACTGGGTTGCTTAAGTCATAAATGTAGATTTGGTATAAGAGAATACCAGACACAAATATGAAAGAATACAATTTTTCTTGCTATTTATACTTTCCTCTAGCTATCTGTTTTGAAGGTCTATCTTTCTCTTCACACATCTCCTATTTATCTTTTTATTCTGTGATGACAATTTTTTACCATTTTGGCATACCCATTCCCAACTTAATCAGTATGTTCTTTAAAAAAGAATAAAAACCAGCAGGACTTCAAGCAGTCTGAAGCACTTGGCACATTTCATTGGAGTCTATTTTGTACTTTTGTTCTCTATCTTGCACTGAAATATTTACTGTAAACATAGAGTATATTCAATCCTAAAAAGCACATTTGTCTCCTATTTCATTATGAAAAGGAAACTGCATCTCAACTCTCCCATTTAGAGTTCTCAAGGACGGTTTATGCTGTTTGTTCCATAAAAACAGTGGAAAAATGATGGGTGTACGAGGTCAGTTAGGAAAACTGTTCCAGCTGATGCTTTATGTGATATTTATGTTAAACACAAGGAAGAGTAAGGTTAAGAAGTTGATGGGCTCAATTACTGTGTTTCACTTAATTATAATCTGATTTGGATGAAATATTGCTTTTTATTACTCAGTAAACTATTCTGCTGAAATAAATGGCGCCATGTTTTATGTTTCAGTTCAAAAAAGCTGTCCTGGTCTGGTTTTTTTCACCTTTTTTGCTTGGTCTCTTCCAAGAATTTTATTTTAATTTTTTCTTTAGGGAAAAAGAGGATTTGGGGCAACAGTGGGAAGTCACAGAAAAGCATGAAATAATATTTTTAAATTGCAGCCTGTGTTTCCTCAGTATCAAAATTTATATTCGTATTGAGCTGCAACATTGATCTCATTTCACCTTTATTGAACGCATCCGTTACACTTCATACCCCTTTTTTCATTATCTGCATAACTAAAAGTCATTGTTTCCGGTAAAGTCCACTGCATCTTTATAGAAGTGCACAAAGGTAATTTACTCTTACTTTAAAACTTCTTCAACATGGATAAGAGCAGTGTGAAGTGGACTTAGGTTAAATATGAATTAGAACCAATCCTTTCAAGAAAATGATGACATTCTCATGGTCTTTGTGATCATACTGTTTGATATATGACAAAGATGTTACATTTAGGTTGCACCAGCAGTTTAATTTTGAATAGTTTTCATTATTTTTTTTTAAATCACAGTATCACTCTTTAAGTAGGCACTTTTAGAAGTTTGTTAGATCTGCCCTCCATATTCACCTCCATATTTAGGCACCACTTCCAGTGTGTAAAATGCTACTGCTTAATACTGTTTTGAATTAACAAACAATTGTCAAATTGTTCAGACTGCTGTTTTGGCATTTCTTTTGCATTTCTTGTCTAGATGTGATTTGGTCTGTCAATCTGCTTTGGAAGACATTAGCTAGAGTTTCATTCCCTCAATCTGAATATAATTTGTGACGTGCTGTATGAATACAGATTTCTATTTAGAGTTCTATGTACAATTTTGATGGAAGCCTATTAATAAACAATTTCCCTTAGAGTGAAGAATAAAATACAATGTCAAAACTATAGACTGGAAGATTATTTCAAGATATCAGAAACACTTCTATTTACTGATTGAAGAAAGAGCCCACATTGTTGCAGGCTGTACCACAAAATAATTGACGGCAACAGGAGTTCTGCACCCCAAGCCAAAAATGAGGGCACATAATCGACATCAAGGTCAATTATCCGGTAGTGAAGTACCCAACAAAAGGAGACTATTATGATTAGAGAAATAAGCAGAACATTGTGAATTTGGAAAGGCTGGCACTGGAGATAGCTTTTAGACTCTCTGTAAACCACCAGAAACATTGTGTTAGAGCACTGAGCATCACCGATTAATTCACAAAAAAACAGGAGAGAGAAATCAGTTATGGTGCAGTTGTTTTACTGGACTTCTGTTATCTTTAGCCTGTAGATCTTTCATAGTGCTGCTTTCTCTGCTGAAGACTAGGTGAAATACTGTTAAAACACACACAATGTTTTTAAAGCTGTGCCAGGATCTTTTTGATCCATATATTCCGAGTTGTAAATCTACCCAGTCTATCTATACACTACTTGAAAGACTCTTCCTAAAACATGTATTTTTTAAAAATATTTTTTTCCACAATTCTATATATAACAAAATTCCTAATAGCCTCACGCTATGATGTCATTCATTCATGTGTGTTCCTAATGTAACTGCTATTATTCCTGCCCCTTCTCCCTTCCCCCCCTCTCCTGACTCCTTATTCTACACTGGAATAATCTTTTGTGTTTTTCTCTTTGTTCTTGTCTTAATTTAGGAAATGATCCTGGAGTCATTACTAACCCAGAATGGATTAGCTTACTAATAACTCACAAAAGACATGATTCAAACCTTTCAGGCTAATGGGAAACAACTTCTTTTGACTTTAAAGAATTCCACAATCAGTCTCATCATCAGCATTCAGTGGCAAGCTGATAGCTCTCTCCATATTCCATGATATATCTTATGTTTTTAATAAGGTTTTACAGGTTCAAATCCTTACCTTCTAAATGACATTATTCAGTGACTTAAACAGATAAGTCTATTTGTTTTCAAGCAGCATGCTCTGTCTTTGAAAACAATTACAACAATAGTACTCACCCTACGGTAAAAAACTGCCTCATCTCCTGTCTTCGAGACCTCATCAGTTGTTTGTATTCACCAATACGCAATTTCTTTCCATCAACAATGCAGGTACGTTTTGGTCGAGGTTTGTATTTGTAATTAGGATACTTTTCTAAGTGGATTTTACTTAGCCGTGCCTGCTCTTCATAATAAGGTTGTTTCTCTTGATTTGACATGGACTTCCAGCGAGATCCTATTAACACAAAACATCAGAGTGCTCAAGTAAAGCAGGTTTAGCTTTACGCGTACACATTTCAACATGCCTTCTTGCCATAATAAACAAATTTTAAATAAGTTAATTAAATAAACTGATTTGAATTTACATCAGCCAGCACATATATTGAGATGCACAACCTGAGACACCTTAAAAGAATCTTGACTTTCAGGTATTGCTGCAGACCAAACATATGTAAATCTCTATTAAATAGGTGCACTTAAAATCAATTGTTACTTCTCAAAATCTCAGCCTCATGCTGCAAAACAGACTATTTAATTTTTTACAATATGAGCATTAATCTGTGAATAATTCTATACCTTTGTAATACCACATACAGTGTTATGGTTAAGTAAGGTCTACAGCCGTACTTTTACTGTTAAAAGCTTAACACATTGCCTAGGGATACATGCTGCTTTGATAGTTCTATGAGGATTTGGTTTATACACTCCTACTAATAGTTATTAATACCTTGCTAGGTAGCAGGAAAAAATTATCAAAACCTTATAGATTCAACAAAATTATGAAAAATTCCTTGCTGTCTGGGTATCTTAAATTTACTAATCTTCTGATATAAGCTTGGCATAATATTGGCACCTTACCATATTTTAAATCCTATTATGCATATTATCTTCTGGCCAGATGTAATAAATGCACAGAACTGCACTGAGAAAGTTACATTTAACAAACATATTTAAAAAAACCCAAAAACAGAGAGCACATTGTAATTATATACACCACTTCAGGTACTGTAAACTCTCATTGAAAGCTGCATCAATAAAAAAGTTTAAAAATTAACACAGCGTACACAGGAAGAGGAAAAAGTATTCAGATCTCTTGTATTGTTTATAAGGAGCTATCTAAACACTTGAATAGAGAAGTGATTTTTTTTTCCAGGGGATAAGAAATGCAGAAAATAGCTTTTTGGTGTCTTTTAGATGAATAAAACAATTACAGCTGTGGTAAATGTGGGTGGAAGCTATTCTTTTACCAAGATTTTTCATACATCAACAAATGGAAAAGTTGTATAAATATTATCCGTAGCCAGCAATACTCTGTGTCAGTTCTAATATTTCAGTCTCTTTTCTCATTGTCCTGGAAAAGTTGCACAGATATTATATGGACATAGACTTATTTGTGGCAGAGCAGATACTGACAGGTTAATTCCATGGTTAACAAACACTCAATTGCTGGCACTTCTGAAATATGTATGCTGGAAGTTTACATTTTAATGAATACAGTTACTATGCTCCTAATAGTTTTTTCACAGAATGCACACAAATAATATAGATTCCCTACAGCTGCCAACACTGAAACAGTGCAGGTTTTATACAAAACTGAAAGGCTATTCATATAACTTACTTATATAGTAGACAAAAATATGAGAACTACTAAGTAAGACTTTGGAAGTTTTAGGACAAAGTAACATTTATTTCTATGTATTCTCGCCTCTGATTGAACTAACATGCAACAAACTTTGGTAAGAATGTATTTGAACTCAAAGTTTACAATGAAATTATTACAGAGGAAACTTGATTTTTACTTTTATTTATTACGAGTTATATTTGGAATCTGTCTTTCACTTCAAAGACTCAGAAAGCAAATATAGGTTTTAACATTTCACCACTCATTCTCACGTATGTTTCTAATTCTCTGGAGGGGTCTTAAAAAGCAAATCAAAATTTCTCAAAAATGAGCCAATTTATTTGCACAGTGGCAAAATATAATCCGTGGTATATTCCCTGATCGTCCCAATCTATACAAATTAAATATTAACTATGGTGTCTTTTAACTAAGCAATATTTTAACTGTATGATGCTAGTGCTTCCTTAGCTTTTTGAACATTGTAACATTTTGAATCAAACATAATTTTGCATGTGAGCAGGTATGCAAATACATGTCTTTTGAACTGTGGCAGGTTTCCTTCTTCAACACTGCACTGTGACATAAACCTTTGATTTTGATTTTGTACTTTATTAATTTTTTCCCAGTGATTACTCCAGCAAGTACTCCATTTTGCATTCAGGTGATTTGTAGTTCAGGTGATTTCTAATGGGATCTTGCAATTAGACCTTTTATCAGGATACACTCTTGCAACAGATTTCACAAAACATTCCTTTTGAACGCTGCTAAGTCTTTAAAGCATGTTGTGACTGCTATTGAAAATAAAAAGCATTAGGGAAGAGGCAGAAAGGGAAAAGGAAGGGAATGAAAATAAAGACAATCCATGAATCTTCATTTGTATAAGTTTCAGTAATTCCAATTTCAGTGAACATCTCCCAAACAAAATATGTCCTAAAATTAGATAAGTTAAGTTGCATATCCAAGAAGGAAGTAACTAGCCTGTGTCACCAATATAAATAACCTCATCTTTCCACAGCTCCAAAAATAACTAACCTCTGTCAATTGCCACTACTATAGCAGAGCCTTCTAAGCTTCCCTCAGTTTTGGTTCAGTCACAGTCACGATTTGTTCATTGTCTTGCACTTACCTAGGATTTTGCTAATGTTGGAGTTGTGCATGTCAGGGAAGGCTTGGAGAATTTTTCGACGCTCATCCTTTGCCCAAACCATGAAAGCATTCATTGGTCGTTTGATGTGCGGTTCGCTACTGGCTCGGCCCCGCGAATCCCGGTAGACTCGAGCTTCAGCCACAGTGGCACCTCCTGTTGGCCAACAATAATACTGCTGTAGTTTAGCTGCAGAGCCATTCATTGCTTTACTTCCTGTAATGTCAGGGCAGGAAGAAACAAGATGGATGCAAAACATTATTATGTGGATTACGCAAGTGCTTTCAGTGCTGTGTTTATTTTAGCCTCATTCTCTTTTTCTCTCTCTCTTTTTGCTGCCAGATCTCTGAGAGAGAGAGACAGAGAAAGAAAGGATATCCAGTGATTTCAGTGTAATTGCTCAGGCTCACCCAGCTGAAGGCATCAACATCTGAGTGAGGAAACAAATTGCACTGGTATTTCTCCAGTTAAGGTATGGAGATTTGAAAAAGTTTCCGTTTGGGACTTTAATACAGCATACATGTTCTGAATGCTCAACAAAATTCACATAAAGTTACGCCTGGGAATCCCAACTGACGTAGACCTGTTCACACAAGTAATTTACAATGACATTGCTGCTTGAGCAGTGAAGCACATGCCAAACATTTCATGAAATAAATTATATAGTACACCAGGTACATGCTGGTAGTTGTATGGATCCGATTATATTTGGAGCTGAACATTTTAAAGTCACATCTGCTTTAGTTGAATTTTAGATGTGTCTTGGAGCATTCGATCACATATATGTAATAAAACTGTCTGCCTTCAACAGGTACACACACAGCATCCTGGAGCTTCCAGAACGGGAAACAAGCACTCCAGCTTCTCCATGCCTGCTGTGCTTTAATGTATCCCAGTGTCCTGTCATTACACACCATCAATTCAATTTGTACATGCTAACCTTAACTGTTTTTTTGAATGCATCCAGCCCTGCTTCTTGACGACAAACAGCAAAGCTTCATGGGGGTTCACAGAGCTGAGTATGAAGTCTAGAACTAGTTAATACAGGAGAAAGAGATAACTGAGCCTAGATAAGGCATGCTTTTACCAGAAAAACTTTTGCAATTGTAATCATAACATATGTTTTTAGGCTTATACCTTAGATACAAAAGGCAAAAAGTCTTTACAGTGGGAGAGTGAGATACTTAGTTTTAGGCCTCATCAAACTGTTCATATAATTCAATACCTTGAAAAAGCAAGGTACTTGACAGCAAATTAGCACAGCAATAGGCTTCCTTTTTTGTAAACTATTACAGCTCCCAACATGGATTTATTTGCCACATAATATGATTAGTTCTTTACACTAAGTAAAACACTGCAGATTTACTAATTTCAGTGACTGACTCACAAGTTTTAATTGTGCAAAAACTATGTTTCCTAATTTAGTGTGAAAACACTATATGTTAGGTATACCATTTTCAAAATTCTATATAGGAAATACATTTGCATGAAAAAAGTCCTAAAATAGAGGATGCATAACTAATACACTACCTTTTTGCCACCAGGTCCACAGTACATTAATTTCATTTAAAACGCACTGACCATACAGGATAAATTGATTTTGCTTTATATGGTGTTGACAGCCATGTTTATTGTGCAGTGAAATGTAGTGTAGTTTCAAGCTGACTATATCCATCAACACAGGGCAATATGCTGACTACTGGGCCAGATGAAGATATACATTACCTTGAGAGCAAAACACTCATTCGTATATGGCAGTGTCTTCTCCTAAGGATCACCATGGTAATTTATGATGCCTCCAATGCCGTTACTTTACAACTGACACCAATTTGGCAATTTGTATACTAACATGCATGCACATAAAAGAAGACAGGTTTGTGGCAAATGTGAGATGCAAAACTATTTTAATACTATTCTAAGTTAAGTACCATTCTACAGGTGTTCAGCATTTACAAGAGGCTGCAGCTGCAGTCAGCTTTTCATTGCAAAAAGGAACACTAGCTTTGCTGAGCAACCTGCATGTAGGACCAGTTTAGGGGTGTGTATGGTTAATGAGGCTCTATCCATTGTTGTCAGAAGGCTTGGAACATGCATATCAAAGATATCATCTCTTGAGAGAGGATATATTTACTGTGAAACTATAGTAAGTTACAAACATAGTAAGTCAACACTGAAACATTTATTGAGACAAACGGCTACATAATTTGAGAAAAATCAAATATATCATGTAATGGTTGTTCCATCTTTTAAAATAATACTATAAAATTTGTAAGTAGTATGTGAGTGATTAGGAAGTTGGTGACAAATTAAAAAAAATAAATTATTATTGATGCAAAAGTTGTCATTTGTTATTCAGCTACTCTACTTGCAGCAAAGGAAACAAGACATATTTGAATCCATATGGTGATTTTCCATCTTTTATTTTCCCAAAGGTACTTATTCACTATGGCTAAGGAGTTTGTCTTTAGCCCTTTCTAATACAATTTTGGCCTGACCTTTCAATCCTAATGCAGGCAAAGAGTACCTTTACTGGTATCAAGATTATAGGCCAGCTTTTTAATCTGGATGTAATGTAGATAGAATGAAAAAAAAAAGAAGAAAAAAACCCACCATAAATGATCTATTTTCCGAGAAAGGTTGTGTTAGAAAATAATTCTTACTTAGAGTAATAAATTATAACCATCCCAAGAAGGCCAAGAGGCTCTGGCTGTATCTGCTTTAAGCAAGTCCATACTTGAAGGATTTGAAAAAGCAGCCAAAGAGTTGATGTTCTTTGTGCTTGATCTCTGGGGGAATATTTGCAAGTTGACCCATAGGCCATCACAAAAGCATCTGCAAAATGAATTTCTGCAAATAACTAAAGTAATATAATCTCCATGTTCTTCTAACTATCTCAGAACTACAGGATTACATTCAGCATATAAAGCATTAGAAGAAAATACTTCTGTTAGCATGTGATTCTAGCCATGGGAGCCAGAAAGTCTCAGTACCTTTTTAGCTTAGAAATGACGTGCTAATCATATAAAAAGCATATATGCTTGGTGAGCTCTTACAAGTTGAAACACATAAGAACAAGCTTTCAAACTGGTTGTTCTTAGGTACTTCATCCTGTCAATCAGATATTTAAACAGTATTGTGCCCTATATAAACAACTTCAACAGATTTTACAAAGTATGGATTTTTTTCTTACTGTGATAATTATAGTACTGACAGAGGCTGAAAGAGACACATGAAATTTTTAAAGAAAAGATATATACAACTGCAAAGAAGTAGGTGTTTTACTTCTTTCTGAAAATAGTTTCAGGAAAGTCTAGTAAATAATAAACCCAAAATAATAGTTAAAATAAAAACGTACTACTAATGAAGAGTGAGAAGAGAGAAGGAAGTTAGTAATTATCTCTCTATGGCAACTAATGCTCTATATCTGCTAGTTACTGTTCATACTGCAATCGCAGGAGGAGGTTTTGAATTTCAGAATTAAGAGCTTGGTCAGAATTAAAAATTATTGCAAAAGCAGTACAGTTTGGCTGCCCTAATGGCTTAGTTGGCAAAGAAGTTTACACGTCAGTCTAAAGGCTGGGGCTGTCCTCAAAATGACACTTTTAGCTTCTGAGGGTGTGGACTGCCTCACTTCCTAGATGCTTTGCATTTGTTCAACTTGTCATGACTTTGATGATTTAAAACTAAAAGCAGACTAGCGGAGAATGATCACTTTTTGTGGATATATGGCAAGCAACTCCTCTGTGGAAGCTGGATTCCAGAGTAGACTCTAGGGACAATACTGGGTCAAAGAACACCACAGAATGAATCTAAAAACGTTACAGCTTCATTAAAGTAATTCCAAACAATATTTTTGTTCCAAAAGAGACTGATTGCTCTCTAATGACAGTGCAGGGGAAGAAGAACCCCTGTTCTTCAGCAAGAAAAAAGAATCTGATCATCAACGGGAAAGATAAACATTTTCACATGAATTAAATGTTAAGAAACATACAGTAACAATTGTTACATTGTTTATTTATTTATTCCTGCCTTCATCTGAGTTTCTCACCTTCTATAATGGCAAGAATTTTAGGACAGGCACCATATCTTAGCACGTTCCCTGAAATCTTGGCCACATTAGGGTTAATCCTATTGTCTTTAATGAGATGTGGTTTCACCTTCCATTTTATACATCATCTACCACAACAAAACCTCAGACTGGGCCTTTATACGTTACCAGAATGCAAACAATAATAAACGCGATAGAAAGGAGCAAAAAAAGGTTGAGAAAAAGATGAGGAAAAAAAGATAAAAGAAGTGACAGCAAAAATAAAGAGATTTTTATAAGTCACTCAGTTATTCCTTAATTACTCTTCATATGCTGGCCATTGATTTATGTTTGACGTGATACATTTCCTTTGACTCCCCCCAGATAATGAATCTTTGGCTACTCTAGAGAATATACTGCATACCGTCTTCTACAGACATATACCAAGATAGGATATATAGAAATAAAGACAGTCTTTCTAGGTTCCTAGTGTAAAAGTGACTGGTTAGTAGTAAGCTCCTATCATCAGTTATTCATTAAGCTGAGATGATGTTTTCGTCCACTTTGGAAAAGACTGATTGCGACCTCCAAAATATCTGGTCCTGTCTGTGGTAACACAACTAGTATTGCTAGCAGCTTGCATTGCAGAAACCAGAACCTAATGAACATGCAAACAGGAGTCACTCTTTTACTACTAGAGATGGGTTACTCATAAACATGGAAATGCCATAAAAACAGGGAGCATGAAAAACCAGCTTGGCAGTCCCCCTTCCTGCTCTTAACAGACAAATGCGGCCTTTATGAAAGATATAGCAGTATTTCAAATCAAATAGAAAAATGCAAATCTGGAAAGAACAGAATGACAAAAGAAGCGTTGAAAAGTTTAGAATACAAGAATAATCATTTAACTATTATTTTGAGTTATTAAGGTCAATGTTCAATTTTGAAGAAGGTTACAAAAATTACTACTTTACTGTAAGTGACTTGTAGCAGTGTTAGTATAACATTTATCTGTTTATAAGGCAAGAGCCCCTTGCCTGCCTCTTGCTTCCTCATCCACATCCATATTCAGAAGACTTTTTCATTCTTTATTACCAGCAAGAAAGGCAAAATAAATGGGTATCATCTCATGAACTATTGTCATTACTGCCATGTCTTGTCATCACTAGGCAAAACTAACACCCACTTG